AGCAAGGAGCACCCCTGTAAGTTGAGTCCACGCTGCTGTGGACTTGGTGCTCTGGGTGCTGCTGGAGCCCTCTTTGGGATTTTTTTATGGAAGGATCACTTCTCCCTGGGAGATGTCACAGCAGGACCTGGCTGTGACATTAGGGTGATAGACAACATGTGGCATTAAGTATATTCTTGTTGTGCAAACATCACCACCATCTATCTCCAGAATTTTTTCATCTTCTCAAACTGAAACTCCATACCCATTACATAGTAAGTGCTCATTTCTCTCTCTTCAGCTCCTGGAAATCACCATTCTACTTTCTGCCTCTATGAATTTGTATTACTGGTTTATTTCACTGAGCATAATGCCCTCAAGGTTCATCCACGTTGTAGCATGTGTCAGAATTTTCTTCCTTTTTAGGCTGTATAATATTCCTTTCTATGTACATATTACATTTTATTTACCCCCATCCATCAATGGACATTTGTGTTGTTTCCACCTTTTGGCTACTGTGAATAATGCTGCTATGGATGTGGGCGTATAGACTTAAAAAAAACTTTGTGATTGAACATTTACCTGTTTATTGTAAAAATTCAATATATAGTCAAGTAGAAAGCACCCTCACACCCTAGTCACCGCTGTGTGTTTTTGGCCTCAATCCCTCTAGCTGTATTTTGGACTATGCATGTGAAATAAGATCATTCTTTATGTACTGTTTGGGAACCTGGGCCATTAAAAAAGCTCTTTGTAACACTGTGAAATCCCTCAGTGGTTTCCCTGTTTTGGGCAGCCATGTGGCGAATGTCGGCGATGGGCAGGCTAAGGCTGGCCTTCCCTCAGAGACTCCTGTGTGGGTGGTACAATGACCCCCATTGCGAAGTAGGGAAACAGGTCCTGAAAGCACAAGATCACCCAGCTCTTTCTGCCCCAAATGCATTTCATAATTGGCCTCTCCTCTCTGTCTTCTAGGCAAATGTCTGCAGACTACGGCTGACCGTACCTCCGGAGAGTCCAGTTTCTGAGGGAAGTGAAAAGAAGATTGAAAGAAAAGAGCAAGTAAGGCATTTCCCAGGCAAAGCTCCAACAAGTCCTCCTCTTTGTGCTCTTTTATGTTAGCCCCTGCCCCTTGGTCCTCTCTGCAGGCTGCTCGCAGAGCCCGAGTGGCAGCAGCTGTGCTGCGTGGAAGCCCTCTCGGCCTCGCCACCCCATCTCCCTCCCCTCAGAAGTCAGGCCGCTCTGACCACTGGCTCTGCTGGCCCTGGGCCCCTGCTCTTGTTTCTCGATGAACACTGGCTCTGTGTTGGCTTTAGTGACAGGTGCTGTGGCAGGGAACGTGTTTTTCCTGAAAGAGCACAGTCCGGTAGAGTCAAAGGGCCCATTGTGAGCTGCTGGTGGGGCCTGAGCTTTGCTCCGTAGCTGGAGCTGGAGCCAGCTTCATGCTGTGGAGAGGCCGCCTGGAGAGAAGCCCAGAGGACTCTGGGGTGTGGGGCAGGGGCAAGGGCACTTGGCTGCAGGTACGAGGGAGCAGACATTTCTGTGCCAGCTGCCATGCTAGGTGCTGGGCCGTGGAGATAAGTCTAACCTTGTCCTTGCCTTAGAGGAACTTGCAGTGTTTCGAGTGAGACTGACATGTAAGTAAACAGTGATGATATGATACTTCAGGTGTTAGCATCAGGGAGTGTAAGAAGGCCGCCGGGAACACTGGGAAGGGAGTAAGACTGCTTGGGGGGCGACGTGGAAGCGGAGGCCTAAAGGGTACATAGCAGATCTTACCCACCTCTAGGCCTGTGGTCCTAGGCAAGTCACTTTTCTCATTCACAAACAATGATGGAGCGCCTGCTATGTTCCAGGCGCTGTTCTAGACGCTGTGAGTATAGGAGTGAACAAAGCAGTAAACAAAAAAGTGCCTGTTGCCCTGACTGGTGTGACTCAGTGGTTAGAGCATTGACCTGTGCACCAAAGGGTTTCTGGTTTGATTCCTGATCAAGGGCACATACCTGGGTTGCAGGTTCGATCCCCGGTCCTGGCTGGGGCACGTGCAGGAGGCAACCAATCGATGTGTCTCTCTCACATCAGTGTCTGTCTTTCTCTCTCTCTCTCCTCCCTCCCTTCCTCCCTTCCACTCCCTAAAAATCAGTGGAAAAAATATCCTTGGGTGGGGATTAACAAAAAAAAAAGCATGTCATTCACAGAACTTGTATTCTATTGGGGTGACAACAAAAATTTTAAAACAAAGCACAATTTATAAAGTTTAGAAGGTAGTAAGTACTGATGGAGACAAATAAAGCAAGCAAAGGGGACAGGGATACCAGGGGGTAGGTAGTAGTTTTTCTTCTGCATGTATTTTATATAAGTATAAAATAAAACAATAAACTGTGATGTAGCAGAAATTTTATACATGAAATCATAAGACAATGCCTTCTCAAAATACAAGCTGTGGTTTGGAAATAACCAGTCCTGTGGTGACCTATAAAAGAAGAAGCTTTTCCTTGACTGGTAAATGGTTGATAATGTCCCCAAATTGACTGTAGGTCTTTGTCTCTCCTTTCCCTCTCTTACACCCTTCTCCCCACTTGCTGCCAAGGACAAAGAGCCATCTGTGCTCATGCAAATGCTGAATGACCAGGAATGGAGGTAGGGAGGAGGGAAAATGAGGCTATGACTAGAGCCTGGTGAGAGGATGTAAAGTTGCTTATCTGCTGAAAAAGAAAGGGCGAGTCCCACTAAAAGGCTCCAGTAAAATATCTGGTTCTAGGTTGGAGCAGGGAGAGTACCGGGTGAGCCTGGGACATCTCCTTCTGGGGAGCAAGGCAGCACTCAAAGGTGAATAGGGTCATATCAAACGACCCAGAAGCTGGTGTGAAAGGGCTCTCACTGGCACACCTGAGACAGTTGGAGCATCAAATGGAATAATCACCATAGTGGGTTATGACACATCGAATAATAAAACCAGCCCTCATGAGTCTATAGTAATAATCAGACAAGGGCGAGGGAGAGGGCAAGAGCAAGGCCTCTTCCTTATAGAACATCAACTAATACATTTAGAAAACCTCTAGTTTGTAACCCTTAGGTTGGGGCATCAATGGATGCAAAAACGAATTGATGAGTGATTATTGTGGAACCATATGTTCACATGGTCTCAAAGGAATACCTCACAGATTGCTTACTGACTTAAAGGTACAGTGGCACGGTCTGGCAGTTAATTCAACCAAGTGATATAATTTAGCCACCAATAGTGGGAAGGCCTGATGTCGTGTGACTTCTAAGGTGATCTGAGTAAGAAGTGCACAGTGTTACCTAGGTAATATTCATGCCAAATTTGTTTAACTGAATCTAGTAGTAAGGAAATAGAGAAAGCCAAAACCTGGGACTATCTGCAAAACTATTGGCCAGAACCTCATAATAAAGTCAGTGTTATTTAAAAAAAAAAAAAAATGAGAATCTGTTGGATAAAAGAGACTTAATGCCCTAGCTGGTTTGGCTCAGTGGTTAGAGCATCGGCCCTTGGACTGAAGGGTCCCAGATTTAATTCCGGCCAAGGGCACGTACCTTGGTTGCAGGCTTGATCCCCAGCCCCAGTAGGAGTGCGTGCAGGAGGCAACCAATCAATGTGTCTCTCTCACATTGATGTTTCTCTCTTTCTCTCCCTTCCACTCTCTCTGAAAAGCAATGGAAAAAAATATCCTTGGGTGAGAATTAAAAAAAAAAAGAGAGAGACTTGACGTCAAATATAGTAGGTAAACCTTGATTAGATCCTGGATAAAAAAATCTGTAAAAGATACATTGGGATAATTGCACAATTCTGAATATAAACCATATATTAAATGTTATTGAATAAATATTACTTTTCTTACTTGTGATAATGGTACTTTGATTATATAGGTGAACTATTCTTTCTGCTTCTCTGTAGCTTTGAATATTCTCCAGAGAAAATGTTTGGTGTAAAAGCTTATAACCAAAAGAGAGTGGGAGCGGCCAAGCTTCAGCCACTGGGCCCTTGTTGGTGACCAGGATTGAGTGGGGCTCTGTGTTGCTGGAGTGTGTGTGTCCCCTTCTGCCTCACTGACTCCCTTCCTGTCTGTCGCTTTTAGAGCTGATAGATTTGTCAGAGAGCTGGGCCTGGGCTCTGGCCAGGGGCACATGGGCAGCTTAGCACACAGGGACTCAGAAGTAGCACTTTGTGAAGAAGGGGCCCAAGCTGGAGTGAATGACAGGACAGGGCCTTGGTGTCTGTCCCTGTATGCATGGTGGAGGAGGTGGGGGATTTGTTGTGTTGGAGTTGACCAGGGCTGTGAGCCTGGGGAGATGTTTGTGAAGGGCTCCCAGTGCCGACACTGGGACAGTGGGTGCTAGAAGCTCTGGAAGGCACATTACCACTAAAGAACTGAGCCTTCCCAAAGAAACAGGCACATGTGCCCCGTGTCAAGTGGGAGTTGGTAACCAAGCTGTATATAGATTTGCCTGTTAGTCTTGAACAGTGCTTTTCAAACTTTTTAAAGCAATAGGGCCCTCTTTTTTTTTTTCTTTTGATCAAAATGTTATCCAGAGCTCATAAATATAATTGAGGTAAAAGTGGTGATGGTGAAGGCCAGGGTCCTCCCAGTCTCCCTTGACCCTGCTCTCCAAGCCTCTCTTGCCTGAGAACTCCGGGAACACAGGGCAGAAACCACAAGCGCAGATCATGTGCCGTGATGCCGCTGGCACTGGGTGGGCCAGGTGTGCAGCCGGCGTGCCTGTCTGTGATGCATCAGTGACTCACTGCAGAGGAACTGGGGTAGAGAGGAGGAGGGTGGAGCTGGCTGTTTCCCCAGGACTGAAGTCCTTGGGTGGTGGAAGCACTTGAAGGCACGTCTGGTGAATGTGAAGCTGTTCTGGGTGATTTCATCACTAGTCTTGGCAGGGTTCCTGGTCTTAAACACTGAGAGCCAGAGGCAGGCACCAGTGAGGAGGCCCTGGGGCTGCCGCCTCCTCTGATGTACCTTCAATGTGGTGGCCCCTCCCTGGGACATCATAGCCCACACAATTGCAAGATGCCAGGAATTCTGGTGAGACGACTTTGGTGGTTTTGGAGGGTGTTTGCTGTGTGCAAAGGCTGGGGACTGCAGCTGGCTGGGATGTGGAAGCAGGAAGATGTAAATGGCCCAAGTGGCTTCTGATGAAACGAAACTTCTTGGAGGATTTCCAGGCCCTGTTAGAACTGCAGCCGACTGAGGGCAGGGCTGGGCCTTCTTCTTTTCCACAGTTGTGGAAGATGCTTAGTGTACTTTGAGGTCCTGAGATGACATGGAGCAGCCGGCCACACAGAGATGCCACTACCAGTTGGGCCATTCTGTCACTGTTCCCACATCACCGGAGAGAGGATTAAGGGTTACTCGCGGTGGATGGGGGTGGCACATGGTACACGTTGCCTAGCTTCATGGTGGTGTGTCTGGAGGCTTCTGGGGACGATCAGAACAGAGGCAGCGTCTTTTTCTGGAGTCGTGGGGCTATGGGGTGGATGTGGGAGGCTGTCTGCTCCTTTCCTTTCTCTTACAGGCCATATCAACTGCCCTGAGGCTGTTTTCTCAGGCTTCACAGGAGCCCCCAAATCCTTCCTCTGCTCCTCAGTTTCTTCGTCTTTCAAGTAGAGACGATAATGTCTGGTTGCAAGAAGCAAACGAGCTACTGTAGGCAGAGGACCCACTTCGGTGTCTGGCCTGTGAACTTGATTACAGAGGTGTGACTGACTGAATGCCAAATTGCTTTCCTTCGATGCCCGACCCAGTGATTCTTGTTCTTTGCTTTCCTCCCTTGGATCCTTCTGGAGTCAGTCCCCTTCCTGGAACTGCCTGTCCCACATCTCCTCCCCCATGTTGGGCTGTGCCTGCTGCACAGTCTTGATGTCATTCTGTCCCTTTCCATAAATCTGAGTGTCCCCCTGCCCATACCACCAGGCCTCACCTCCTCTGCACAACCTTCCCGCGGAGAACTACTTACATGACTCAGAGCCACCTCTGGGGAGCACGCCCTTCGCACCACCAGCTCTGCTCTCCTGAGCCCTGTGCTATGGGTGGCTACCCTGGCTCTCAGTGTTCTCAACATGGTGGCATTTTTATGTACAGAATACAGATATTTTATTGTGTTTTACCATTATTTTAGTATTAAAAATATAAAATCTGGATTTTGTATTTTTATTTGAAAAAATTTGTCCATAAAGTTCTAGGCTTCATTAAAACTCTGAATGGACCCTGTCAGAACAGGCAGCCCAGGGAGGGCATCTTCCATTCCCATCCTCTGGTTACCAGTGAGAATGGGTGTCCTGTCTTATGTTTGTTCATCATATGTATTTCCCACAGAGCCATTTGGGTCTCATCTGTTTCTAGTGGACTCTGCTGTAGTCATCTTGGAAATGGAGCAGAGACTTTAAGGGGACTACAAAGAGAATGTGTAGGAGTTCAAGGGGGAGAGAGGAGAGGGAATGGGGGAGGCAGGTGCCAGCACCCAAGTCCCTATCCTTCACTGGAGCCTCCCTTAGCCTCCACATCTCTCCCTGTATTTCCTCCAGAGTCAAACCCCTTCTCTCTTAGAACCCGACCCTTCCTTCTCTAGGATAATTTAATTGTTCTAGAACTTTCTTCCCTAAACAACGTACCTGAGAGATTCAACTCTGGGCCTTGGCCCTCTCTCAGATAAAATTACAAATGAAGACAAAGGGTAGAAGAAAAAAATTAATGATATATCTTCTTTTAAATAAAATAACTATTTTGTTACAATAAAAAAAGTCCAAATATCAGTATTTTGATTTGTTTCCAGTGTGGCTCCCCTGGGTGGGTTGCAGGACTCAGAGCCTGCTGGCCAGTTCCTCTTGAATGACCACTCAGCACACCTGAAACCAGCTCAGTATTATCTCCTTTGTAATTTCCTGGTTGCTCTACCCTCACTGGACAGGTTCACTTATTACCTTCTAAACCCACGGCATCTACTTCCTCCTCAGAACCCTTGCTAAGGCCCTAGCCCAGGCCTGGAGTCTCTCTCTTCTCAGCTGTCTCTCAGTTTACCCACGCCTTCCCTGTCCCTTGGGCCTGCTTCCCAGAGACCTTCCCTGACTGCCTGTGCTTTGGTGACTATTTCTCCTGAACTGCAGGTGCCCAGGCTGCCCCTCTCACCTGGCATCTAGTCACCTGCTGCTAAGAACTCCCACATGTCGCTATACATATTCCTGCAAAATTTGTGTACAACATATACTTATGCATATCCACACACATATAGAAATGAGGTGGTGTCTTTGTTTCTTCCTAGAGCCTAGTACCTGCCTTGCACATAGTAGGTGCTTAACGCATGACTGTTGATTATGATGATTCGGTTTTGTATTAGTTTTCTAGGTTAGCTGCCATAACAAAGGATTACAGACTGAATGGCTTAAATAACAGATTTATTGGCTCAGTTTTGGGGCTGAAATTCTGGGATAAGGTGTCAGCAGGGCCGTGCTCTCTCTGAAAGCTCTAGGGAAGAATCCTTCCTTGCCGCTTCCAGCTGCTGGCGGCTTTTGGCAATCCCTGGCTTGTGGCAGCATTCCTCCAGTCTTCACATGGTGTTTTCCCTATGTGTATCTGTCTCTGTATCCAATTTTTCTCCTCTTTATAAAGACACCAATCATACTGGATTAGGGCCCACTCTAATGACCTCATTTTAACTTGTCCCTATCTCCAAATAAGGTCAAATTCTGAGGTACCAGGGATTAGGACACCAACACACCTTTATTTGTGGGACACAATTCAACCCATAGTAAGTTCTTTGTAGAATATAATCACCTTAAATTGTACTAACAATTCAGATGAATTAGCCATGGACTTTTATTTGTCTATTAAAAAATCAGTAATAATAAGGGGAGGAAATGTTGGTTATTTTGTAGGCATACATTTCATGTTCATAAATTGATAAATGTGGAATATAATCTTTATAAAATTGTTGAACATTAAAATTAATATTGGTAGTAGATAATTTTGAAATTAAACCTCTATCATTTTCAAAGAACTTCATGAATGTATGCATCCATATTTCTATCCAAATCTATTCGCAGTGTATTCTTAGGTAATCATACACTCACACATAGAGAAATAAGAGACCGACGCATCACCAGCTATTACAGATTCATTGTGTTGGATCTACGTCTCACCACATAGTTGAATTTTTGAGAATAGGATCTCAGCTTTGCTGATTTAGAGTCTATGTGATGGTGAAGCCTTTTGCAGTAGACAGAGTAGTTTGAAGCTGATGATATTTGCAGTAGCTATAACATCCCGCCATCGTAGGTGTCCTTTAGTGACCTGTGTTTTTAAAGAATCTAGACCTTTGAGAACTCTGAGTGAGAGAGAGAGCAGATATGTGTATGTGTATATATATGAAAAGTCAGGAATTTTCATAGCCCAGTAAAATGTTTAAAAGGAGGAAACCTTGCCCTTGGGTTTTATAGTCCCCTTTCCTTAAGAGCCCTGGATGAATAAGCCTGTGGAGTTCCTGTCTTGGCGTGACTGTTTATACAACATCCCGGGCTGTTGCCAGGTGAGGGAGTGTGCTGCCAGGATTCAGGTGGGGCTGGGGCTGCCCGGCTGAGAGCATGCAGGACCTACATGCGTCCCAGAGAGAGTGGCCCTGGGAGGACCGAGAGAGGCCTGGGTTCTAGTCCTGGCTCCCTCGCCAATTGAGGTAGTATCGGCCCATCAAGACCTCTCGAAGGGCCCCCGTTTCCTCTTCTAGCAACAGGAAGCATTCGCCTAGAGCCACCATGCTCCCCAGCCTCTTCAGCTGTGGAACTCTTTATTAAAGTGAATATCTGGGAAAGTGCCACCAATAAAAGTGAAAGTGCAGTGGCTGTGGTTTCCATAGGTCAGGGCTGGGTGAGCTGCCCCAGCAGTGCCCCCCCCCCCCAACTTTATCAGATGCTGAGCAGGGGCAGGTTACAACTCCCCTGGACTCTTGAGCTCTTTTCCATTTTTCTAACCCGAGACTCGGTGATTCTCTCCCCGGGAAGAGGAACCAAGGCAGGTTAAGAGGTGAGTAAATTTGATCACTGTGATGGGAACAGCAAAAAGACCCAAGAAGAGAGAGGTGGACAGACAGACAGAAGCATCCAGACAAATACGTCGGAACCCAGATCCTCAGAAATGTAAAGACACCACCACTAATAATAGAATCTGTCAGCATCTACTCTCTGCCCAGCAGCAGACTAGGTGTTTTATGTATTCCTTGGAATGACCTTCTGAAATTGGTGGTATTATCCTCATTTTACCACCTGAAACTCAGGGAAATAAGTAACTTGTACAGGGCCACACAGCTAGCACATAGTGAATTTGCAGTTCCAACTAGCCTCAGTGACACAGCCATGTTGCCATGGGAACGCCAACTTGCATACTTTCTCCTATCAGGAAAAGTCTGGTTAGGATATTTAATCAATCAGTCAAGGTTACCTAAGGTGTCTACTGTACCACTGGGTTCCAGAAAAGAAGTTCCTGACACCCCCCCCCCCCCTTTTTCT